AGAATGTGCCCGGCCAGGCCGGCGGGACCTACGGCTGCCGCGTGGAGGAGTGGCTGCCCAGCCCCAGTGGCCTGTGGTATAAACGGGCGGAGGACACAGCGGGGAACATGGCTGTAACCGTCACGCGACCAGGTAAGGCTCATGGCCCCATGCCTCCACCCCCTCGCGGCTTCCAGTGTAATATTTCATGTGCTGGGTAAAATTAGTTTATTAATTAATAAATAATTTTGCGGTTAACTATATGAGCATTTATATCATGCATCCGTATTCAGAGTTGTCTCAGGTTTTTCCTTTTTCTTGTGAATGGAAAATTGCACATCTGGCTCTGGCCTAAGGTGATTCCGTTTCTTAATTAGAATAAAATTTGGCAATTAATTATTACAGCTCACAGAATATTTTATTTGCAAAGAATACAAGTGGTGGATGTGACAAAAATCTTGAAACAATAGCTATGTGGTTCAGGAAATGAAACTTGTAGATTTCGGTGGAAAAGTATGGATTTACTTGTTTTAAATACAAAATAGGGATATGTCTGCAGCCTTCACACTCTCACTCCTTAATAATTTTATTGGTACTAATGACTATTCTATGTGGCCTTTTGCTTTTCATGTCTTTATTGCTGTTTCTAAAGCACCTGAATACATATAATTACCAGGTATAATTATAGTTACACATTTAAACACGTAATTAGAGCTCAGATGTGCAGGACCCCTGCGTCTTTTGCAGGAGTTCCTCATCATTCATTTGTATCAGAGCAAAAAGTCAACAGTCCCTGTAAAGACAGAAAGCAGAAGTGACTTTGTGACGTTTGTCAGTGTGAACGTTTTGTTGTGTCCCATGTTCACATTGTGGCCTTGGGTACAGTTGAAAGTCCTGTCATCTCTCGCATCTCTTTAGTTGGTGGGACATTGGAGCTTTCTAATCGTACTGGGCCCCTTAAGTTATGGAACAGCTTCAGGAAGGTGACTACACCCTTAGTTATAGGAAGGGAGTTATCTGACTCGCCTGTGTCTTCGAATTACTCATATTTTCCCATGAACTTTTATCCGTGTGTGTGTGTGTGTGTGTGTGTGTGTGTGAACAACCTCTCCTGGAAACTGCTGCTTGTCTTTCCTGAGGCTAACGCTGTGGAGCATGGCAGCTGAATGCCCCCGTGTCCCCAGCTCCCACCCACTTTGCAGATCATTACACCGAAGCCCCAGGTGGAGTGGGAGGAGACAGGTTAGTGAGTACCAGCTATATTCCAGCCGCAGTTAGGGGAATGATAGTGTTCTGTCCTCGTCCCAGCCCGACTGGCAGATCATACTAACAGGGGCCCTAAGTCTGAAGAGAACGTGCTGGATCCGATGTTATACGGCTAGTGTGGGCACACAGAGTCACCGAGCTTCCCCCCATCACGCTGTACCCTCCCAACCTGGCCCTTCAAGGTGGACCAGCTTAATCTACTCCTGTCCATCTAGCCCTGATTGCATAAGTTGTGCTCATTTCAAAGCTTTTGGAAAACAGAGAAGTATACTTCCCTGCTATTAGTAATTTGGTATACAATGGGACTTTGAAAAGTTCATGGAAAAATAGAATTAAAGTGTGCGTTTACTTGGTATACATTTTTGTATGTCCATACGTAGTTTTTCATAGTGTGCATTTTCCACAAACTTTTTAAAGACCTCTTGTACATTGTTTTTCGTCTTTGCCTCATTTCATAGGCCCTCTGGCTCTCTAAAAGAAGTCAGGATCTTGCTGTTTTGTGTGATTTGTATTTTGTTTGTTTGTTTGGCCACTCTGCATTCTTTTGTGAACCTTTCTCTGTTTGAAAGTATTTCATAACCATCCTTTTTACTGTTGTGGAACATTGGCTATACGGAGGCACTGAAAAGGTTTTTTTCATGGTATGAGTTGAACACATAGGTGACTTGGTATAATGATTCTAAGAGTTACATTAAGGAAATAATTGCCTTCCCTTGCTTAGGGCTGACCAATCCCTGTAGTCTGAAGTACGTGAAACAAAAAGCTCCTGCCCTCAGTGAGATCATACTTGACTAGATTAGAGGGGTTTTTCGACTCACAAGACTGGGGGAGAAAGAAGAATCACCTTCATTGCACACAGATTAGGAACCAGAAGTCAAGGAAACAGCCACAGGTGGAGTTAGCGTAGGGTGAAGGGAGGGACAGATACATTTTTTTCTTGAGGGTCATATTTGGAAAAGGAAAGAATGCTGGTCTGAACGAGAAGAAGGGTTGGCTTATTCTAAAAGGGACTGACACAGGGAGCCAAGTGGGCAGAGCAGCATATTGAGAGGAGGAAGGTTGTGGAAAGGTGGAAAGTAATTGCATTTTAAAAACTTATATTGAGTCATTAATGCAAATGAGGCACTTAGGGTCAGAAATAACTGTAAGTGGTTGGGAGAGAAGGTAGCAAAGGGAGGGTTAGATGGTGCTTTACTTCATCTTGTTGGTAATAAGAGAAATCCTGAAGTTGGATAATTTATAAAGAATAGAGGTTTATTTAGCTCACAATCTTTAGGTCAAGGGGCTGCATCTGGTGAAGCTGTTTGCTGGTGGGTCTCCCTGCAGAGGCCTGAGATGGCACAAGACGGCACGTGACGAGAGATTGCATGTCCATGTCTACATCTATTCTTACTAGGAGTCAGTCATGGGGACCCCACCCTCAGACCTCGATCCTAATGGTTGCTAAAAGCACGACTTTTCAACACCATAATTGGATGAAGTCTCTACCCTCTCAACACCCTTACAGTAGCTCAATGGATTTCATTACATGAATTTGGGGAGAAAGGGGGAACACATTCAAACTACAGCAGCCAGGAAGGGGACCTCCCAAGGGAATTAAATGCCTGATGGTCTCTGGCCATTTTGCCACCTTGCCACCATGCGTTCTGTTGCTCCTTACCCAGGGCCATCTCCTTGGACGAGCACATTAGCTGGTCACCGGGAGCTTTGCAGTACTGCGTTAGTCTGTGGAGGAAGAAAAGCACCACAGACCATCCTTTGATGGATAGTTTAGTGTTCTCTGTTGTTTACTTGCCAGAGGGCACATGTGCTTGCCAGAGAAAGAGAGCCGAAGAGAGGAAGAGGGAGAAAGTGCACCCTACAATGGGATGTCGTTGCACTGCAATCCCTTTTCCTCCGTTCTCCATCCTGTTGGGATTCTGGACATGCAAGCATGCATGCCTAGCATGTTTTATAAGCTACCAGCGCCGGATTCACATCTTAGTCAGCCATATGGGATCCCACTCCTTAACCTCTAGGCTATGGGGCCAGCCTGGTCTGTGAAGTTCAGCTCTCTGTGGCTTTGGGGTTACACATCAGCTCTACTCTGGAAGGAGAAGCCGATGAGCTGAGTGAGTTTGCATCGCCTGTGAACTGATTGAATTATCCCCATCCTGCTATTTTCTGCCTTCAAGCAGGTTCTCCCTGCAAGAGCCGGGCTGATGCACTGTGCCCATCTCATAAGCCAATTACTGCACCTTCACAGCCAGTACTGCATTTGGAGCTTCCAGATGGGCCGGGGGTGTGGAGGGGCTTGGCAGAGCCCCACGAAAGCAGTAGGAACCCCAGCTTTGTGTTCACCTGCGCGCGACATTAAGCCAGCTCACTGAAAGCCCAGGATAACAATTGAGAAATGTTCCTATTTGGTCTCCTTCCAAGTGGAAGCTGATTGGTGTCTCTACCTTTGTGGATGTTACATTCCCATCGTCCATGGATGATTCATAAACAGAGCCAAAGGGAGGCCTTTTAGGAGCTGGGGAGTGGATTATTTGTTTGGAACCTGCAGCGGTGAGCCAAAAAACTAAAAAGGCAGCAAACAAAACAGACTCGAGCCAGTCTGGTGGTGCCTGTGAGACTTGACTCACCTGTTCGGGGCTCCGCTCAGTGGGTTCTGTGTCTCCCACCTAAGTGGGGAGGGCCCTTTGTCTATGCACATCTGCCTGGGAGGTCCGTGCTCCGAGGGAGGGGCCCCTTCGGGTCTGTGGTCTGTCATTTGGCTTCAGTCTTTGGAGAGAGGTTCCATCCCTGGCCCACTGTGGTTTGGGTAGTACACGCCATGCACATAGTTTAAATTCCGAAGTTACAGAATGGACGTGTCGTTTCTTAGGGCTGCCATAACACATGACCTCAAGCATAGAAACTTAATAGAAATTCTGTAGGTCAGAAGTCCAAATCGGGGTCATGCTTCCCTTGGAGGTTCTAGGGAAGGACTTTCCTCATTCTTCCAGCTTCTGGTGGCCTCAGGCGTTCCTTAGTTTGTATCTGCGTCACTCAGCCTGGGCCTCCCTTATCATATGACCGCCCTCTGCCTGTCCACCCTTATGAGGGTGTCAGCTACCCCTATGTTTTGGATAATGGTTTGTCCCCCAAAGGTTCATGTTTTGGAGTCTGGTTCCCAGTAGTGTGGTGTTGGGAGGTAATGAGCCCTTTACAAGGTGAAGCCTCTTCCTCGTGAATGGATTAGTGCTGTCTCACAAGATGAAGTTGTTCTCATGAGGAGGGGTTAGAGCCTGAAAAGACAGGATATTAGAAAAGGCAGATGGCTGCCCCCAGACGGCACCAACCTCCTTCCTCTCTCCTCTCACCATACTGTGATATGGCTCCAGGGACCAGCCAGAGGCCAGCCTCATGCCCATGGACTTTCCAGCCACCAGCATCATAAGGCAAATACGTTTCTGCTCTTTATAACTCACTCAGTCTCTTGCTGTTTCTTTTAGCAACGTGATAGTACTCTAAGCCCGCTGCCACAGCAAAATAGTTGTGCCGGGTAGCTTAAACAACGGATGTTCATTTTCTCAGTTTTGGAGACTGGACATCTGAGCTCAGGTTGCCAGGATGGTTAAGTTCAGGTGAGGGCTGTCCTCCTGGCTGGCAGGTACAGCCTTCTCACTGTGCGCTCATACTGGTGGGCGTTCCTCGGCGCACGTGCCTGGAGACAGAGAGGCCACTGGTCATACTGGGCGAGGGCCCTAGCCTTCTGACCTCATTTAACCTTAATTCTGAAAAGCCCTATCTCTAAACAGTCACATCATGGGTTAGGGATTCAACATACTTATTCAGAAGACCAGGGAGTGGGGCACAATTCAGTTATTCAGTCTGTAATCATTAGATTTAAGCCAGTAAAGGGACCAGCAGGTGGCGTGGTGGTTAAGGCGCTGGGTGCTCCCTCGTGGCTGACCACGATTCAACTCCTGGACCTGGTGGCTTGCTCTCTCACTTTCTCTCTCTCTCTCTGTGTGTGTATCTCTCTTGTCAAATTAAAAATGAATAAATAAGCAAAGTTAAATAAATAATTTTTAAAAAGATTTAAGCCAGTAAGACCTTGTCTTAGCTAACTACATCTGCAAAGACCCTAATTCTAAATAAGGGCACATTGCAAGTTCCTGGTGGAGATGAATTTTAGGGGTACACCATTCAACCACTGCAGCTGATACAGTAATTACAAATGTCCCTTCCTCTCTGGGTTCTCATAAGCAGCTATATTACCAACTTCTTGTGAATTCTTCCACAGATATTTTATGCAAATATAAACAGACACGCATATCAGAATAAAATACTTTTCTGCGCTTAATAATATATAAAATACATAATGCTGTGTTACTCAGTTTTTCTTGAATCTCCTTCCATCTTCCTACACACAGCACTGCCCAGATACCTTTTTCATAGGTGCATAGTGTTCCACAGTGTGGATATTGTTGTAATGTATTTAGGATGGACATTTAGTTTGTCTTCATCTCCTCCTTTGTCCCATCTCTCTCCCCAGATGCCGCCTTACAGGTGGACACAGTGGTCCCCAATGCTACGGTGTCCGAGAAGGCAGCTTTCCAGCTGGACTGCAGCATCGTGTCTCGCTCAAGCCAGGACTCTCGCTTTGCTGTGGCCTGGTATTCCCTGAGGACTAAGGCTGGAGGGAAAAGGGGCAGCTCTGGTCTGGAAGAGTCAGAGGAGGAAAGGGGAGAGGAAGAGCGAGAAGAAGAGGAGGAGGAGGACCCAACCGAGCGGACGGCGCTGCTCAGTGTGGGCCCCGATGCTGTCTTTGGCCCAGAGGGCAGCCCCTGGGAGGGCAGGCTGCGGTTCCAGAGACTCTCCCCGGTGCTCTACCGGCTCACGGTGCTGCAGGCCAGCCCCCACGACTCGGGCAACTACTCCTGCCGTGTGGAGGAGTGGCTGCCCAGCCCTCAGAAGGAATGGTACCGCCTGACCGAGGAGGAGTCGGCCCCCATCGGCATCCGTGTTCTGCACACAGGTGAGTTTCCCAGTTACGGGAGGGAGATGTCGCTGCTGATTCTGGGTCTGGAATGGGTTCAGAGCTTGCTTACGTGTTAATAAACAGTTGGCTGTCACAGTGACTTCTTAGATCTGAGCTACAGCAGGTTTCGGATACTCGTTCACAGTTGACCCTGAATTACCCATGCAAGAAACAGGGGAATAATATCGTTTATCATTTGTGTAATAAACCTGATGCTCCTTCAGGTCCTATTTTAGTAAGATTTCTATATTGGGGGAACAGTTTGTTGGAACTCCAGATCATAAAAAACTGCCTGATTTCAATTTTTTTTTTTTTGCACCAAAATAAACTCACACTTCCATTTTCCCATGAACTTCTTGAAGGCCCCACATACATGTTACGTATTTTATATACCACATTGTGCTACTTTTTAGCATATGGAACCTAGTCTTTCTTCAGTGAAGTACCAAGCATCTTAGACTCATAAGGGGAAGGAAAAACATTTTAAAAAAAGAAGCCCGAGTACCTGTCATTCTTGATTTTTTTTTCAAGTTTCTGGGTCATTTTTATTTTGGAGGATGACTTCAAGGGTTCAGTGGATTTTGCATGGTCAGTTGCCCCACCTAGAAGGGCAGTAAAGTCACAGCCCAGCCTGGGGGAGCTCAGCAGCAGAATGGTCCAGAACCAGTTTCTGCTATGCCAAGGACTGTCCCTGCAAAGGAGACTGGAGGCAGTCCTTGGTGGCCTGAATTATTTATTGTAATGAGGCATTTTTTGGATTGACTTTCTGTCAACATGTGGGATATAGCAGACTGAAAATAGTATCTCCGATAGTAAAATTAGCCTTTAAGTAGAAACAAAAAATTTGCTAGAATTTTCCACTTCTTTTCAGTTAAAATATTTCACGGCAGAATCACAATTTTAGTTTTTGAGTGGTATCCACTATTACTTTGCCTCCATCGCCTCCTGTTACCATTGTTACATAAAAATATATGAAGCTGAGTTTGAAGTGTACTTATTTATTCCCAGAGAGACCGAGATACCGTACTCCCAATGGGGTTTGACACCGTGATCCGCCCCCAGCAGCTCCAGGTCACGGGCACACGCATGCGTGGTGTACTCTGGCATGCTCTGGGAGGCTCCTGGTGTGACCCAGTAACCTTCCCACATGGGCCAGCCTCACAGAGCAGTGTGGTTTACCCTTGTACCACCGTCCAGCCCCACATTGAGACTTTTGTCAAATCGGTCAACTCTCAGCAATTTCATGTGCTTTGGAAGTGTAGTAAGAGTATGTTCAATTTGCTTCATACTCATGAGCAGCAGCTATGCAGTGGAAAGAACAGCAGAAAATGCCATGGGCCACCTAGTGTATTGAATAACCCGCCATCCATAGGTATGAGGGGGCTTCCAATAACGTGTGGAAAAATGAAATTGAAGTATGAGTTTATTTGGGTGCATGGTTTTATTATAATATGCGTTTCCTGTGAACTTCCTGAAGATCCCCTCCTAAAAAGGAAGTCGTTTAGGTCATAGTCTATCCAGCCATTGTGCACTCTCATGACTACTAAGCTTCACAGAGCACAGGGATTATCCAGCAGCCTTGTTTTACAGAGACAGTGTAGACAGGGCCCGGCTGCAGCCAGGTCTGCAGGGCCCTGGTTATACAGCAACCCTTGACCTGGGCCTTGGGGTGCCTGGTTTCCTTCTCCATCTCTGGCTCTAACTAAACTGTTCAGTGCAGGCCACAAAAACATGGTGGACATTTATCAAGGGTCCATAATGGCACTTTAAGAAACATTTATTTTCAATTTGCTGTAGGGCACATGTGTTCACCAGAGAGAAAGAGAGTGAGCAAGCCAGGTCTGGAGCTTGAACTGCTGTTGGCCATGTGGGAGTCCAGCGCCTCAACCACCACACCACCTGCTGGCCCCCTAATGGCATTTTAATTAATAACATTAATCAAATAAACACCCTTTCTTGTAAGACTGTCTCACGCTGGCAGGAAGGGAACATGTTCTGTTTCCAAAAAAAGGAGATTGTAGCAGAGCTCAGCACAAAGGGACATGTCACACATTCGCCGGGTGTCTCACGCTGGCAGGAAGGGAACATGTTCTTTGCTCCCCAGGCAGGGCTCAGGTGGACTGGGACAGCTTCTGTACCGTCTTAGACACTGTCAAGTTCACAACCAATGCACTTCGTTTTAGCCTGTGGCTTTCAGGCAGTAATGGTGGCTGTCAGTGGACCATGTCAGCAGGGCTTTGTTGGCACTGACCTCCGAGAGCCGGAGAAGGTGGTGCTGTGAGAAGGGGACAGGGCGGGCTCTCCACCATCAGTGGCGGCCGGGCGAAGGCAGGGCAGTGTGGGAGACCCAGGTGGGCAACGTCTTCAGGAAGGCGCGGCAGGCCAGGTTCTCAACCCTCATTGTCCTGTCTCCCCCTCGTCCTTTTCAGGCTCCAGCCTCCAGTCCATCATCTGCTCCAACGACGCGCTGTTCTACTTCGTCTTCTTCTACCCCTTCCCCATCTTTGGCATCCTTATCATCACCATTCTGCTGGTGCGCTTCAAGAGCCGGAATTCCAGCAAGAACTCCGACGGGAAGAACGGGGTGCCCCTGCTGTGGATCAAAGAACCACACCTCAACTACTCCCCGACTTGCCTGGAGCCCCCTGTGCTCAGCATCCACCCAGGGGCCATAGACTAGAGCGGACTTCGCATCGAACGCCAGCCACGCAGGAGCCGCAGTGCCCCTCGCCGCCTCCCGCTCTGTGATTGGACAGCACCCGACGTCTGGCCGACTGTCAGACTTCCGTTCCGAGGTCGCGCTCCGGCGCAGAGACAGACCGCCGCTAGGTGGCAGTCTTGGTTGGTTCGCGGTTTGCGCGCACACGTGAATCTTGCCCTGATAGGTTTCTTGTTTTTCGGTTTTCGGTAACGTAGTGAGTAGCTTCAGGTGCCGCATCTACTCACTGATTTATCTAGTGTTCTCAGATAGATGTTACAAGGGTCCGTAATCTTTGTAATGTACTCTTTTTAAATCCCTTTGGTTTACCCTCCGGATTCCGTGACGTTGTGGACGAATTTCTCCGTACATGCAACTGAGGGATGGCAAAAGGAAGGACAGACTTTATAGCGACGAGGGATCTCTTCCAAGACTTTTTTTTTGTTTTTGCACATTTGAAAATGCCACCCATGGATCAAAATATATCCAAACCTTTTTTACTTTCTTAACAAGACTTGAAAATTGTGTGTAGCCTGGGCCCAATTTGTATCTTATCTTTTCCCTCAGCCGGAGTTGTTGGAACCACTTTGTAGTCAAGATGAAAGCATTGAATTTTGCTTCAAAGAACTGTATATGTACAAGAGAAATCCTACATAACCCCATTAGGAGTAGATGGTGTCCGGCCAGCCTATCTGTCAGGCAGGCAAAAAAGGCCGCATCCCATCCTTGCCCCCAAATATGAAAACTGTCTAGGAGAATGGGTCAAAAGCTGCAGACAGCACACACTTTTCCGAGTTAAAGTGGGCAGGGGCCGCTTTGAGCAGGTACTGACTTTCAGATTGATCAAAGCCAGTGGTTTGAGAAGCAAGAAAAACAAGGCTGCTTGTTGGCAGGCTCTGATCTGCACTGCAATCTTTGGGGACTGAGCAGGTGGGCCGCTGTCTTCAGGTGCTTTGTGAACCTTTCAAGGGAAAGTGTCTGGCGAGCCCAGGAAGGGGGATAGCTCAGCACAGGTACAGAAGCAGCCGCTGTGCACACTCAGTGGAGGGCACTGGGCCAGCTGGTATTAAATTTGCAGACATGTGAGGACAGTGAGGGATCGAGGTGGATGTTTCCAGGACCTGATGTTGACACGTGAGAAGGAATGACTACCTCCCTGGAGGCATGAAGACTAGGTTTTCCTTAAAGATAGCGGTTTACCTAGTTTCAGCAGATAGCGATCCTGTGCATTGTCTCTGGGTTTTTTTTTGACCCTTCCCTTAGAAAATTGTGTGTAGCCTGGGCCCAATTTGTATCTTATCTTTTCCCTCAGCCGGAGTTGTTGGAACCACTTTGTAGTCAAGATGAAAGCATTGAATTTTGCTTCAAAGAACTGTATATGTACAAGAGAAATCCTACATAACCCCATTAGGAGTAGATGGTGTCCGGCCAGCCTATCTGTCAGGCAGGCAAAAAAGGCCGCATCCCATCCTTGCCCCCAAATATGAAAACTGTCTAGGAGAATGGGTCAAAAGCTGCAGACAGCACACACTTTTCCGAGTTAAAGTGGGCAGGGGCCGCTTTGAGCAGGTACTGACTTTCAGATTGATCAAAGCCAGTGGTTTGAGAAGCAAGAAAAACAAGGCTGCTTGTTGGCAGGCTCTGATCTGCACTGCAATCTTTGGGGACTGAGCAGGTGGGCCGCTGTCTTCCGGTGCTTTGTGAACCTTTCAAGGGAAAGTGTCTGGCGAGCCCAGGAAGGGGGATAGCTCAGCACAGGTACAGAAGCAGCCGCTGTGCACACTCAGTGGAGGGCACTGGGCCAGCTGGTATTAAATTTGCAGACATGTGAGGACAGTGAGGGATCGAGGTGGATGTTTCCAGGACCTGATGTTGACACGTGAGAAGGAATGACTACCTCCCTGGAGGCATGAAGACTAGGTTTTCCTTAAAGATAGCGGTTTACCTAGTTTCAGCAGATAGCGATCCTGTGCATTGTCTCTGGGTTTTTTTTTGACCCTTCCCTTAGATTTTTTTTTTTTGCTTACGGCTTTGGGTTATTTGGTTGCTCAGTGTTTTGATACCATTTATGTTAATGCCTTGTAAGCCCAAGAGGACCAGTGTCTCTCAGCTGTCTCTCTATCGGGTGGAAGCTTGTCTCCCCCGAGCAACATCACTTGTAGATTTCCCGTTGCTCACTCCATGGAGATGTCTGCCTGCCCTTGCCTCCCCATACATGACTGACCCAAGTGTCTCCTCTCTTCCCCAGGAGGGGCCCCACAGTTGGAAACAGCCACCAGGAGTCCTGGAGCTAAGTCCAGCAAGGACGAGTCCTGTTCTGAGAATGGGCAGACTGGGGGGGACGCCAGGGTTCGCCAGGCCTGTGGGTGCTGAGCTCGGCCCGGCTGCTCCGCAGAGGCACTGCTGAGCGCCAGCTAAGGGAAGCAAGGTGATTGCTCTGCCCTGCTCCACAGGTCACAGGCGTACACGGGCCTGCCAGATAGCCCATGCCCCCCTGTGAGCCCCCATAGTCCCGCTGTGGCCTAACCTGCTGGCTCACCTCTGCTATGCTGCGTTAACACCCTAGCCCTGTATTGGTGAAGAAGGAAGTTTTGCCCTGTTCTTCATTTCAGAGTGGGCTTTTGGAAGAAAATAGCTGAGCCCTGATTTGTAGGCCGAGTCATTGAGGGAAGATGACTGCCTGAATGGAAAGATGCCAGAGGACTGGCTGGGACTGGGATGTGGAACTAAGATTTCAGTTTGAATTGGTTCACAGAGGTAGAAAAGTAGGTGCTGCACGTAATTAACTATGTGAAGCAATAGCAGGAAATTTAAAAAGAAAAAGAAAAAAAAAACAGAAGCCAGTATTTTAATTTTTTTAAATTTTTTTTTTTTTTTTTTTTGGTGTATTTTCTACTGGGCTGGGGAATACCATCAAAGGCTGAGCTTTTCAAGTTTTCTAAGAAAAACCCCAGGACCTTTCTTTGGCCATTTCTATGGAAATGTGGTGTCAGATGAATGGTAATGGTGCCCTCCAGTGGCTGCAAGACCTCATTGCACATTGTCTACTGGCGCTTTAGTCTTCTGTGTTCAGGAGAAGAAAATTGCTGAATACTCTCTGGACTTACCAACATCTACAATGTTGCATTTATGAAAAACTACACTGTGCTAGGCGCATTCCTGGACATGGATATGACCACACCCTCTTTCACCAGGGTGTTACTGTAGCAAGTTTTCATATTCTTTTCAGACAATGGTTACTCTGGTTACTCTGCGTTGCAGACAAGAGAGATGGGGTAAGAAAACTACCCATGCATGATGTAGAGAGCTGTTGATTTGTTTTTGTTTTTTAAACGAAAACTATTTGTAAGATGTTGCACTAAAACGTTTTATATACACTTCAGAGACCTGTAGTAAATTATCTTGAAAATACGGCTGTTTACATTTACTGGGGCCTGCTGCCCTTCTTTCCCCTCACTTTCGGCCGTTTCTCTCCTTGAAACTGGGCTGTGGGCAGAGTTCAGCTGTGGCATTGGCGCACTCGTCTCAACGTCCGTGAGTGCTAGCCTTTATTGTCACACACCACCCCCAGATATATGGGGCCTTTGTACAGAAATGATGAAAAACACCCCTTCCCCAAGACACGTAACTGCCATCTGCAGAAACATACCATCATAAACACACCTGTGCCCTTCCTGTCAAGGCCGCGCTCCCTCTGGAGTTGTGGAGCCTGGGGGGCAGGTCCAGAATGTAATTCTTATCATCTCTAGCTTTTCTGTGTGGGGAGCGGGGCAAGCTGAGAAGAGCGATGGGAAGGGACCAGGAACACAGACATTTCTCTCCTCGGCCCCTAGGACCACTGCGACGAGGTCACGCCAGGGGTCTTCAGGTACACAGAGTGGCCCCTGTGTGTGAAGCAAGCAGCAAGCCTTTTCCAGGTGGAAGTAAGAGCTGGAGCTGTACCTTCCGGTTCCGCAAGGCTGCAGAGCACAACTTGAATGCTGGGAGTTTACCTGCAAATTAAGAAGAATGCTAGAATGATTAGAAGAAGAGCGATATGTGATTAGTTAGAATCCATCTATAATTTTTTAAAGAATTATTTTATTTAGCTTTATTTATTTATTCACTTCTTTTAATTTGACTAGAAAGGGACAGAGAGAGAGAGAGGGAGAGAGAGAAGGAAAGTGAGATAGCAAGCCATCAGGTCTGGGACTCGAACCATGTTTTGCCCTGTGGGAGTCCAATGCCCTTAACCACCGTGCCATCTGCCAGCCCCTCCATCTATAATTTTTAAAAATTCATAGAAGAGGGACTAGCAGGTGGTGTAATAGTTACATTGCTGGACTCTCACGGAGTCAACCGTAGTTCGAGTCCCAGACCCGGCAACTTGAAACTTACATCAGGCGCGTGTGCGTGCGTGTCTAAGATCTGGAAAGGAGAATGGAGAAAGTATTGCTGCATAACCATCCCCGCTAGGGGGTGATTTCTCGCTTTCTGTCTCTCTGTCTCTGTCTCTCCAGTGAATGCATGTGCCCTATAGCAACATTCTCTTTAAAAAAAATTCATAGAAGAGCATGCAAAAGGAACTTGAGATGGTAAAAAGCAGAGGGAGTTGCTTTTCCTTTTTTAAAGTCTGAGCCTTTTAAGAGCTTTAATGGGTACTTTCTCTGCTTCCCAGGCCCATTTGCTGCATCCTTATCATCTTCTAGCAGCTGGTGGCCACGAGTCGAAAATGTGCCTGTTTATCTCCTGGGTACCCACAATGGTTCCATGTTAAGTCTTATGTATTATTTTTGCCTAATTTTTTTTCCAAATGCTTTCTTTCTGCCGGAGAACATTTTTAAAAGGGAAATGCAGTATTATGGGATAAGATTACCCCTCTCTGCCCTTTGTGCAAATCCACCCAGTGTTTACATAAATGAAGCGAATGTATGCTTCCCCAGGGGGGTCTACAAGGAAAATGATGATTTGCATTTATGCAGGATTAGAGGTGGTGTTTTGTTCACTGCGTTTTGGGATTCCTAAGCTTCATGGGAGTAGTTTGGGGAGTTTGACAGAAACTAGAGCCAAAGCAGAGAGTGCCCTGCTAGGAGAATCCTCAGGAGCAGGGTGAGTGGGCCCTCTCTCGTACCTTCTGGTACACAAGTCTCTGCGGTGAGACTAAGATAAACTGGATCTCATGACCCTGGTCGTAGGAGGAAGGACACACCCAGCCCGGATGTTGTTGTCTCCTTGGTATGTGCAGGGAGCCTTTCTGGGCTGCCCTAATGCATTGCAGGTTGTGTCTGTTATTTATTTTCTTAGTTTCGTTACAGGGTGTGTGTGCTGGCCAGAGAGAGACAGAGAGAGGGAAAGTGAAAAATCACCCACCAGGGGGATTGGCCACGCCACAATCCCTTATTTTCCCTCTTGGGCTTTTGGGCACTTATGCAACCGTGCCCTGAGTTTATAATGGAGGCGTGCTTCCAAGATGGAGTCGCTCCTGCTTCACTCCCCACTTCTCTTGGAGGTGCTCCTCGGAGATAGGGCCATGCCCGCTTCAGCAGTAAGATGAACCCCGCTAATGCACTTAACACTGGGCCTGACACACAGTGAGTCTGCACCGGAAGTTTTCTGCTGTGTCACGTCCCAGCTCCCCCCATCCTGCTGCCCAAGTTGGCCTGAGTCCCACAGGCCCAGGGTCCAGGAGACACTCACATTCTGTACAACAGGCCGCCTGCCCTGCCTTCCCCGGGTCTGTGGATGACAGGGAAAGCCTTAGGGTGAAGGTCCCAGGAATCTCCCCGCCAGAGATGCCCTTTATGGCTACTGTAAGAGAATTCATGAATTCCTGCAGTTCGGTTGCGGTGCCTTGAGTGAGGATGGGGGCAGAAAGCACGTTTCCACTCCGTGTCTCACGACTTGCAACCAGCCTGTTTATTAGGGCGTGGGGAGGGCTGCTCCTGGGGTGGCTTCCTGCTGCCCAGACCTCCC